TAACTAACTACAAACACACAGCTTTTCACAATACATTAATTTATGGACTGGAGTGGTGTGGATTATTGTGATGTTTTTATCAGCTGTTTGGACTCTCATTCTGACGGCACCCATTCACTGCAGAGGATCCATTGGCTAAATTTCTCCACATTTGTTCTGTTGAAGAAACAAACTCATCTACATCTTGGATGGTGGTGGGTAAATTCTCAGCAAATTATTATTTTTGGGTTAACAATTTCTTTAAGATGCTTCAACTAACCAAAGAATATAAAAACAACTCACTCGATACCAAATAACTAATATTGCTCTTTTATATGCATGAATGAAAGCACTCATAATTTGACGTGGCAAGTATTCAAATACACTTTATAAGGAGTGTCTAAACAAACATCGGTGTAGCTATAGACATCAGATCCATTCATTCTTCTAATACAATGTCAATATCCCACTGGCAAAAACCTCTCGTTATTGACAAAGGGGTGTTAGTAATGGAATGGCAAATCAATATTTGCTCCGTCAATGTTTATTAATAGTCATTTGACATTTGCTTGTGTGTTTCTTTTAGTTATGGCTTAAAGGTCCTTGCGCAGGTGTGGCAAATGCTGCTATTGATTTGCGCATAAATCAATAGCAGTATTCGTTTTCTTCTTCTTCTTCTTCTTCTTACGTATCTGTCACACACTAATTTATTTAAATGTATTTATATTTTGCACAGGAAATGACATGTGCGTTCTGCGTCTGACAGGTGTGTATGTGGCTGAGTTGATAAAGGGGGACGACAGTAATCTGATCACAGAAATCATTTTGGATTACTGATGCTGCTGTCAGTAAATGAGCTCTTGTATAACAGATAAATTAATCACAGCTTTAAAGCAAGCGAGATGTTCCGTTCCTGTGTGCTTTCACAGATTAAATTGTCCAATTACATTACAGTTGTGTTTTAAATAGGTGCCTTCATGCAACACTCATTTCAATAGTGATCAATGGCAAATCACTGACTTTAATGCAAGCGTGTTAGAACATTATAGTCATCACGAACAAGTCAGATTTCAGTGAAATCACCATCACAAACTTTGCATCAAGTTCAAGGTTCTCCTCTTGCTTGAACTATATTTGAACAAATAATATAATATAATATAATATAATATAATATATGCTTTTTAAACCATAAAAATTTAAAACGTCCATGTTTAATGTCAACTACACATTAAATACATATATTTACATTCATTATTAAATCCATATAATTAAACATGCTAAATAATTATAAATAAATTCTCAGTTTTAATGTTAAGCTTTACACAATGCAAGACCATAATATAATATAATATAATATAATATATTTTAAACCCAAACATAAAATTTGTCCATGTCATTTGTCAACTAACAGTAAATACATAATTAAATTCATATGATTGAAAATACAAAATTACTAAATTAAATTAAAGTATATAATTTTGTAAAATGTAAAATATTGCATGGATTCAAATTTCAAGCACCAAATTTCTCAGTTTTAATATTAACCTTAAATATAATATAATATAATATAATATAATATAATACACGTTTGAACAAAAAAAAAAATCTTTAAAAGGTTGCCCGTGTTATTGGTCAACTAACAATCAATACATAGGCTACATTTTAATTTATAATTAAATTCACAGAATTAGAAATACTAAATATTTACAATTAATTACAATTTATAATTTTAAATGTAAACTATTGCATGGAATCATATTCCAAGCACTCAAATTCTCACTTTTAACATTAACCCTTAAAAACAATGGAAAGGCGTCAATATATTTAATTCACGACTCTTGCTGTCTCTTTATGTGGGCGTTACAGTCTCCACGCCTGACTCCATTCCAGCAGCCCCGATCCGCCCCGTGTTTCCGGCTCCACCGCTGCTCTACCCCAGCTGACTGGCAGTACTTGTTTAAATACAAAATTACTAAATTAAATTCTATAAAACATTGCATGGATTCAGATTCTAAGCCTCAAAATTCTCAGTTTTAAAGTTTTAAATACAATGGAAGGGTGATAATACGCAGTACTTGTTTACTGGTGAGGTACACAGGGAGAGACGAGAGGGGGGAAACCATACCGCCGACAACACGAGAGAAGTTTTTTCCCACCTTCAGCCCATTCCCACGCCAATGAGTTCATCGAAACTGCACACCGGGGTCTTGTGGACGGAACTGAGTGGTTTTATGGGCAGGCCGAACACGCGTTTGACGCTGGTCTGTTGATTAACGTGGAAGATTAAAACGCAACGCGGCCGTGACGCGCGTACGCTCACACACTTCGGGAGCATTGTGCTTCTGGAAGCAAAGGCTTTAGGGGAATATCCAGATTTGTATGGGGCTCTGAACGCTTTGAATTTACACAAACGTGTGTGGATGTTTAATATTAGAAGACGGTGGCTTTTTTGACCGTAGAATAGCAAACAAATAATTTTTTGTGTGTGTGTGCATGTGTATATGGAGATGAGGAGATGCCCATTTTTTCTGATAGGAACATTTGGCAGTGCATGAAACGACCTGTGGAATAACGCTTATTTTTTGCTTTTTTCCCTCAGAGACGTTAAAATCAGGCATATTATTGGAATTTTTGACTATTGGGAAGCTTTTCTGTGAACATTTGAGATATTTTTGTTTTTAAAGCAACCTGGGGTACCATATTAGTACTACTATTTTTATTATTAACATTACGTGAATTTTCAAGCTAAAACACGGGTATGCAAAAGTTGCAATGTACTGTACCCTTAAGGGTACCTCATTCCTAGAAGTGTGGGATTGATTCCATGGATGAAATGCATGGACTTTTTTCATGCTTGATCTACTGAAAGCAAAGATGAATCCGAAAAGTCTTCAAAATGATTTTTATTCATTTATTTTTCATTAGGGTGCAGGATAATTTTATTTAATGCTGATTTCTCTAATGCTGCGTAGGCAGCAACTACTTAAATTGAACATTATCTTTAACCGAAGCACGCTGGACCCCTGGGTCCCCTTCTTGGGGGGTCTCGTTTAAGTTGTCCCTGGCTTTTAAAAAAAAAATCTTTAAAAGGTTGCCCGTGTTATTGGTCAACTAACAATCAATACATAGGCTACATTTTAATTTATAATTAAATTCACAGAATTAGAAATACTAAATATTTACAATTAATTACAATTTATAATTTTAAATGTAAACTATTGCATGGAATCATATTCCAAGCACTCAAATTCTCACTTTTAACATTAACCCTTAAAAACAATGGAAAGGCGTCAATATATTTAATTCACGACTCTTGCTGTCTCTTTATGTGGGCGTTACAGTCTCCACGCCTGACTCCATTCCAGCAGCCCCGATCCGCCCCGTGTTTCCGGCTCCACCGCTGCTCTACCCCAGCTGACTGGCAGTACTTGTTTACTGGTGAGGTACACAGGGAGAGACGAGAGGGGGGAAACCATACCGCCGACAACACGAGAGAAGTTTTTTCCCACCTTCAGCCCATTCCCACGCCAATGAGTTCATCGAAACCGCACACCGGGGTCTTGTGGACGGAACTGAGTGGTTTTATGGGCAGGCCGAACACGCGTTTGACGCTGGTCTGTTGATTAACGTGGAAGATTAAAACGCAACGCGGCCGTGACGCGCGTACGCTCACACACTTCGCATTCATTGTGCTTCTGGAAGCAAAGGCTTTAGGGGAATATCCAGATTTGTATGGGGCTCTGAACGCTTTGAATTTACACAAACGTGTGTGGATGTTTAATATTAGAAGACGGTGGCTTTTTTGACCGTAGAATAGCAAACAAATAATTTTTTGTGTGTGTGTGCGCATGTATATATGGAGATGAGGAGATGCCCATTTTTTCTGATAGGAACATTTGGCAGTGCATGAAACGACCTGTGGAATAACGCTTATTTTTTGCTTTTTTCCCTCAGAGACGTTAAAATCAGGCATATTATTGGAATTTTTGACTATTGGGAAGCTTTTCTGTGAACATTTGAGATATTTTTGTTTTTAAAGCAACCTGGGGTACCATATTAGTACTACTATTTTTTATTATTAACATTACGTGAATTTTCAAGCTAAAACACGGGTATGAAAAAGTTGCAATGTACTGTACCCTTAAGGGTACCTCATTCCTAGAAGTGTGGGATTGATTCCATGGATGAAATGCATGGACTTTTTTCATGCTTGATCTACTGAAAGCAAAGATGAATCCGAAAAGTCTTCAAAATGATTTTTATTCATTTATTTTTCATTAGGGTGCAGGATAATTTTATTTAATGCTGATTTCTCTAATGCTGCGTAGGCAGCAACTACTTAAATTGAACATTATCTTTAACCGAAGCACGCTGGACCCCTGGGTCCCCTTCTTGGGGGGTCTCGTTTAAGTTGTCCCTGGCTTTTTTTGGCCTGGATATAAGATAATCAAGGTTTTATTTTCTTTTATTGCTCGACGACCGTTTTTTGGACACACCAGAGGTGGATTTAATTTTCCAAGAAAACTAAAACGTGTCGCGAAGCATAATGCGGCTGGACACATCTGTGGTTGTTTTGGTCACTTTCGCCTACATCGTGTGCCTCTGCGGATCGCTACATGGAGAAAGTAAGTCACGACACGCTCTAACTCGCTTTAATGCACAAAATATTTATGTGTTATTGTGCTATGTGTGCGTACTGTAGTTTACAATTGAGGAGACTTGTGGAATTCACTCCATGTAGACTTCGGGCAGCTCCTAAATGTGTTGGCGAGGGATGTCGCACGGATTTGATTGTTTTAAAATGACTTGTTTGTTGAAATGTGATAATTCGAAACCATTTTATGTGTCATATATTTCATAAAGGTGCCATTTAGCTCATTTGTTTTATGAAAGCTTATTATTGTAGTTAAACGTATGTTTTTATAAATCGTATCCCCCCCCCGCTTCCTCTCAAAATGGGCCGTTCCTTAGGCCTGGCGTTCTGCGCGTCAGCCCAAAAAACCAGATTAGCGCTCGTGACTGGACTCGGCGGGATTCGCGAGCGCGCGCATGCCTGGATTCCAGTCGAGGAGACGCACGCGCACGTTCTTCACGACACGTTCGATTTGGAAGTGTGTAAACAAGTCGAGGCCCTAAAAAGAATCCCAGATCCCATAAATGTGCGGGATTAGCCTACATTGGGCCTCTATCTATCGATGTATCCAGGTCGATTTCGGTGTGATATCAATTATGAAATTCCCAAATGAGAAGGAAAAGAATGTTGCCTTTTGTGTAGGCTTAACATTTTATAATAACGTTTAATTCTGTATAGCGATGATAATTAATATGAATTACTCTTTCTTATTAATTATATCAAACATGATACTATACTTAACAGAACAGTGGTTTGTGTGTATTTAAATCAATATACTTTAACATATGAATATTCATAAGTTATTGTTATATAACTATTCATAATAGTTATTGTTATATATGACATTTATATATATAAAACGTTTTTGTGAAAGTGCAAAGTAAACATCGCTTTCTTTTGTAAACTTTTCTTTGTAAGTTTTAGAAGTTGCTGTTTATTTAAAAAAAAAAAAAAACACTCAATCGCTTTTTTCTTGAAAAATTTTTTGAAAAGCAACACAAAGAACTATAACAATGAAGATACAGGTTTAAAAATTTTTTTATTTTAAACAAACAGCACAGTCCACATCACAACTGTAACAATAACGACAGAGAAACAATATCATTGGAATCACTTTCAGAATGATGTTTTCCAGCTGATTAACGATAAACATTGACAGCCAATGAGAATCCATCCTGCTTTAAAGAGCTCGAGAATTTAAAGCGACACATCAAAACTGCAGTGCATGCTTCGAATAAACAGAACATTATTTTGCGCTGGTGTAGAAACTAATATATTTATCACATGAACGTGCCTTTAATCACTTTTTTTTTTATTTAATCGCGCTTTTCCATTTCTGAACATCATTTTAAATTTAGGATAGGCACTTTTATGGGCACACTTAGAATAGTGGGCTGTTAATGTTTTTTAGAGCTGCCGTCTCAAGAAAGTGCTGGACTGATGCCTGCAATAGTAACGCGGTGTTATAAATAATGCTCTGGACTGGAGATAAATAGATCTTCCTTATTATAGGTAACCATTGCATCCCAGTGAGCCGTTTATTTGAACTGTAGATTGGAAAATATCAGGTTTTTGCAGGTGGTGTGATTTTTCTGTTAGAAACATGATAAATGTCCATGCAATCTGTTTGTTTTTCATGTAAAGAAAGAAACTTGGCAAAATGAGCAATTTTGTAAAAAATTTTTGCTCTATTTGAAACAATTTTCCCAAGATTGGTTCCAAATCTGAGCCTCCAAATCTTTTGTAGCCGTTACTCTTTTGGAAGACATCTATGGTTGTACTCAAAAATATTAGAATATTAAAATACGCTGGAATAGTTTTAACATTACCGTTGGCCTCACTGACTCCATGGACCTGTTTGGGATCTTCTGACACTCTGTAGTTTGCCTTGGTATGTCTTCCAGAATTCCAAGGGTGTGGAATGTCTTTGAAGTGGCCCACCCTGTAGGTGCTCTTGCCGTTGAGGGTTTCGGGACTCATTTCGGCGTCTGCTGCCTGCTGACCTCTTGTCTTCCAGGTCATGTATCTGAACATTTGCCATGTAGCATGTGAGCTCTATGTTCAGCTCTGTGAATCTCCAGGGTGAGCTTTTCCCGGGAAACCGGAGCATTTTCGCAGGCTTCTGTTCGTTGGTGTGTGGCCATTTTCTCGGAAGTTCTTTCTCCAAAACCGATTTGTCATATACAAGAGTTTTTTTTTTTTTTTTAAATGCATGCATAAAATATGTCCATTTAAAAAAAATTACTTTATAAAATGTGTGCATTTATTAAAAATGTTAAAAGTAATTTTACAGTGACTTCGAATGTGGCTCATCCAATCAGAATTCCGAATCTGAAATATTTTTTCATTGGTTTGTCAGTGGAAATGTAATTTCAGATGAAGTTGTTTTGATGACCAATGATAAAATTAAACATAATATGCAGTGATGATTTGCACACAATAAGATCAGAGATGTTTGTTAAAAATCTAAAGAGGTTCTTACTTCAAAACTTTTTTTCATGTTCACATATAACTTTGAAACTTTAAATACATGCATAAAATGCATACATTATTTTTATTTTAAATTAGTTATTACAATGCTTGTATGTATTAAAAATACTTCAAAAGTAATAGAAATTGCGTAAATCATTTTATATAAAATAATGCACAGATGTTGCTTTTTTCATTCAAAAAAGTGCTTGTTTTAATGAAAGTTGTTTAATGAAAGATAAACAGCAATAGCATTGCTTTGCAAAACATTTTTGCGAAAGAAACAATGGAAAAACGTTTTGCATTTCGGAAAAACGTTTTGCATGCTTGGAATGTTTCGCATGTTTTGTTTATTTTTCGTGAAAAAAAAACCTTAATTGCAAAAAGAAAATTTGCGGAAAAACAACGCTTAATGCTCTTTCACACTGAGGACGATAACTTTAACGATATAGTTCTCTGAATTTAAAAGAAAACCACAACTATAACTATAACGGCACAGAGTGGTGATATCGTTGGAATCACTTTGGCAACGTTTTTGTCCACCTGATGAACGATAAAAACATTGACGGCCAATCTGAATCCATCCTGCTTTTAAAAGCTTGAGAACTTGCAAAACGTTTTTGTGAAAGTGCAAAGTAAACATCGCTTTCTTTTGTAAACTTTTCTTTGTAAGTTTTAGAAGTTGCTGTTTATTTAAAAAAAAAAAAAACACTCAATCGCTTTTTTCTTTAAAAATTTTTTGAAAAGCAACACAAAGAACTATAACAATGAAGATACAGGTTTAAATTTTTTTTTATTTTAAACAAACAGCACAGTCCACATCACAACTGTAACAATAACGACAGAGAAACAATATCATTGGAATCACTTTCAGAATGATGTTTTCCAGCTGATTAACGATAAACATTGACAGCCAATGAGAATCCATCCTGCTTTAAAGAGCTCGAGAATTTAAAGCGACACATCAAAACTGCCGTACATGCTTCGAATAAACAGAACATTATTTTGCGCTGGTGTAGAAACTAATATATTTATCACATGAACGTGCCTTTAATCACTTTTTTTTAAATTTTTCATACACATTTCGCAACAAATTTATTATAAATTTTTACAAAAAGATAGTTAAATACTTTCTATATCTAAATATATAAAGTTAAATATAGCTTTATGAAAGATAAGCAACAACCTTTTTGATACTCGTTATATAACTTCAAATTGAGTTTTAAATTGCTGAGAAATCAAGGAAAAGGAAGGTTTTATGATGTAGATTAGACTGTTTTAAACCACTCTTTCTGTTTGTGATCTTGTTACGAACACATCAGTTTTAACTCTACATCCTCGCTTTACCCTGTCAAGAATAAGATGTTCCAGGGCATGAACCGAGCAACCTGCCCTTATTCCACCTCTCAGCGGCCGTAATTTCCACATTGATGTATTCTGCTGACCTGTGGACTTGTTCAGTCTTAACATAGTCAGGCCTCTACTCAATATTCATTGACTAAAGATTTATGGTGGCTTGTTTCTTTTATTGACACTGTTCTCCATGTCAGGTTGTGGGCCACAAATGAGGTTGATGCCTCTTACAACACGCCTGAAAAATCTGATGTGATGACCCAGTTGCTTTTTGTATCCGTCCGGCTTTATCTGTCAGTGATCTCATGCCATAATGTCTCTGTCAAACCATGCTAGTAATGTGGGGATCAGCATTGAGTCGGGGTCTTTTCAGCACTTATGAGAGAGTGAAAAGACAGCTTGACTCCAGCATTTGTGGGCTATAGAGAATTTTGGCAGCCCTGTTATGCTACCTGATGGCTTGCATGTATTTTGAGAACTGTTGTATGGCTGTAACCGGGTTCTTTTTGACCTTAATTATTAATCAGATCCCAAGGGAGAAATCAAAATTGAAGTTGTGTGTCTTAATTTTGAGGCTTATTGCTTTTATAAAACTGCGGTAACATTTACTTGTTGCATCTATTAAAGGGATAGTTCACCTTCAGTTGCTGGTCCCCATTGACATGCATAGTGTTTATTTTTTCCAGTCAATGGGGACCAGCAACTGAAGGTGAACTATTCCTTTAATAATAATTGGAATAAACCATTGGGTAGCACTTAAAAATAAGGTTTCATTTGTTTGCGTTAGTCAACTAGCAATGCAATCTTCTAAAGCAATTACTAAAGTTAAAAATGGCTTAATGTTCCCTGACGGCACCCATTCACAGCAGAGGACCCAATCGAACTGAGGTTCGGACCAGGCAATTGAAAAAAAGTGTGAAAGCACCCTATATTTTCAGCAAATTTTCATTTTGAGTGAACTGTGCTTTTAGGAAATGAAAGTCAATATTAATTTCATGTTGCCTCTCAAACAGTCATAAATAAGGAACTGAAATATAAATGGGTTAAATATTAAAGCAAAATTATATTATTTTGAAAGTTGAGCCGTAGGAACCTTTGTTTTTCATCAGTGGTTAGCACTGCTAGTGCTGTTTTTAGAGGATGTGTAATATAAAATAATTTAATTGAAGA